GCAAAAAATTCGATGTCCTCCACCCATTATGCCACAAATGCCATGTCCACCACCCATTATGCCACAAATGCCATGTCTTCCTCAGATGATGCCACAAATGCCATGTCCACCACCCATTATGCCACAAATGCCATGTCCGCCACCCATTATGCCGCAAATGCCGTGTCTTCCTCAGATGCCGATGATACAACAACAAGTACCTTGTATGCCTCAGCAAAGTTTCATGCCTCAACAGATTCCTTGTATGCCACCTCAATTTCCAATGCAACAATCGTTTCAAAACCCTTGCTTGTCATCAATGTATCCATCATCTCAAATGGGTGGATCATTTGCCGGCTATGGATCTCAAATGATGTTACCACAAATGGGAATGGGGGTAAACAATTATCTTGGATATGGTGGTATTAATCCGTCTGGATTCGCTGGTTATTCAGGTAGTAATATGATGGGCGGTTTCCCTTCGAGTGGACGTGTTCTGGTTGTGTGTTGTGCTTTTCCCCAGCCATAAATTTTTAAATGATTTATCGTTATCCACGATACCTTGACACAGTGGTGAAGAAGCAAACGACTGCATTGTGTCGCGTAGGTTCTCTGTTGACTTTTATTATACATATCGTTTTAAAATTTATAACGTTTATAAGCTTTCAGCGAAGCACAACAATTATTATGCTATCGACGACGGATTAACAGAAGAGTTTTGCATTCCAATAAAGAAACAAATCTGTATTTGGTGAATTTTTTAATTAAGAAAACATCGGACCTTTCAAGCATATAAATGCAGCTTTTCATAAGAAACGAAGCATCGTAATTTTCGCTTGTTTATGTGTGTTTAACTGCCTTATGTCAGTTTCTTTTCGTCTGTTTTTTGTTGAAAAAGGAACAAAGCAGATATTAATTGTTTTCTTTTATGTAATTTATTTCTTACCATTCTGAACATACAACATCCAAAAAATCATACGTCGATGTTTACTATTTTATCACAACAGCCATTTTCAGGTTAAATAGCAAACTCCGAAGTCACATGTCTCTTCTCTTCGAAAGTTTATTCATCGTTGGATCTTTCTCCAATATCTAAACGTGTATTACAGATGTTGCAAGGTAAACATAAAATTAGAAAAAAGACGTCTGACTATAAAAAAGAGATCAGGCGTATGTGATCTCAGCTCTAGAGGTAAAATATGAAATGACAATTTTTCTTTCATAGTACTGTGTGAATAAAATTTAAACGTCAAAATTAATTATTATCCATTTTTGTGATTGATTTATAGTAGGGAATATGCTGTAATACAGCCTGTTCTGAACTGCGATTAACTAGAAGAGAGCAAATTTCATGCATCTTGTTTTGTGATTATACCAAGAATAATTATATAACTTCTTTTCCTAACAGGGCTGTAGATAAACGTAGAAGTTTTAGAAGCGATCGTTCGAAAGATCATCCAGAGGGGAAAACCAGACTTAAGTCTCAATAATGGATTTTCAAAGTTCATCTAAATCCACAGAAGCCCCTAAAAGTCCAGCAGTTTTTATGGATCTACGTGGGCTTACGCAAACTTTTGGAGACTTACATGGATTCTTGCGGTTTTTGAACATTTGAATATACTTGTAAAGTCCAATGAACTTTGGCTCGAAGATACTTTGAAACTGCATGTAAGTCGGCATGAATCGATCGTTGTTTGAAACTCCTAGGCACTAGATTTCATTAAGTTTTGTTGAGTAAAGTGGTTAAAGAAAAAATGCACTGGTTGCTGCTGCATGCCTGTATTGCTTATTATTCTTGTAACCGATCGATCTATCTGAATATAAGGTGACAAAATGTGAGGGATTTTAAGTTACTATTACAAATACATTTCGTCCGTTGAATATTCACAAGAGGAGAATAGTGGCATATATCCAGTTGTGTAAATGTGAATTAGAGGGTGACTCCCCGATATGTACTCTTAAGCTTTGTCACTTTTATGAGGACACCTGATTACATATATCCTCAAGTTCTTTCGATGAACTGAAAAGTATTTGCAGTGTTATCAATTAATTAAGTTTAAATTTTAATTAAAATTTGAGCTGCTAGTGCGAAATAGTCAAAAATAATCGTAAGAAAAGTCATTTTGCATTGCTTGATAGCCGATGATCTATTGTTATAGTTTCATGAAAAAAAAATTAAAAAAAGTTTTTTTAAAGCACTGATTTATAACTAATCGATGCTCATTAGCATTACTCCAGCGCGTTACACTTTTATTTGCGAATTAACAATTTATTGTAAATCATGAACTAATACATTATTCGATAGAGATTTTCAAGCGCTACAAAACCTTGTATTTGTCTTTCCAAAAAATATCAACAAGGCGCTAGTTAACCTGTTTTTTAGGCGAACCGGGCTTCTAAGCAGGTTATGTGAGCTATTATCCTTTTTAGAACACGGAGTCATCACAAACTTTTTTAATAACTTTTGAACAAAGACAGATACAGACTTGCGGTTTTCGCTATCCGAAAGATGCGGCTTGGAGACATCTTTTCATAATGTCAAAAATCTTCAAAATCTGTTTTTCGATACTGTTTTTTTAGGAGATCTTTGGAAAACCGGATCATAGCCAAATACGTTGAAACACAAATCTATTGATTTGTGTCCATGAGGAGAGCGCCTAGAATGTTTTCTTTAAATGGGAATCCTTCGACTTCATTTTTCAAGCCTCACATCGGATCTGTCAGAAGCCCCAGGATCGGTTTCCAATGGCTCTTGGAAACATTAGGAGTGGATGGAACATGGATCATCGACTATGCTGAATTTCATGGCAATGTTTGTTTCCAGAACAAAACTTCATAAATCTACTGAACCTGTGCTAGATGATATAACACATTTTTGCCTATTTTCACAAAACCTTAAAATATTCAAAACTCCCAAGGGAACATATTTGAGTGTTTCTGTAGAAACGAGATGAAAAGCAGCGTATCTGGTAGAGAATTTGTTGCTGATTACGAACATGAATATCTTTGCTGCTCTCGTTGGTGCCTTAAAAGATAGAGGGTACAACTTCTTAACCTGACGTACCTCCCCGACAGTAATTATCTCCTTTGTTAGACAAATATTTTTCAGAAAAAATCATTTGCAAAAGCTAAAAACCACTTTTTCTTACTCAGCTCGATGCGGTCTATCCAACCATGTATACAAAAACAAAACAAAAACTTTTTACTGAAAATTCGAATTGCCGCCACCTTAGTTATCTCCTTTGTTAGACGAATATTTTTTTTCTAAAGCAATCAGGGAAAATTGGGAAAGATTCAACATAAAGAAGGTTTTCTGTGAAGAATTTGCAATGATTCTCGAATTAGTAAACGATATTTGGATGAATCTCTCAATACAATCTTCCATCCCTGCCAGTCTATATTATGACCCGTTTCGAGTGTGGATCTGTAAAGAGCCGACTTCATTAGTTTCTTGTTAATCTCGACTACATTTTTATCTTCCATTTCTTCTTCTTTAGGACAGTAAATCGATATTTCTTTATCTTATTTCTTTTCGAGTGTCTTATATTAGCTCTACTTGATTTATTGTATTTGTTGACGAATTTGTTTTTGAGACCGAAGACTGTGTTGGTGGCTGTGGAGCGCCATGTTCTTCATGACGTCTTGTAGCTTGCCGAATACTTACTCCTATATAACTTTCATCACAGTCTGCGCATGATAGTTCGTAAACAAGATGTGATTGAAGGTTGTTACTAATTATATCTTTCCTTGAAACATACGTGGAAATCGGAGGAGGGGAACGAGGTATAGACTGTACGTATAAATTTGGTCTTACAGTTTTACTTAATTCAATAATTTGTTTTCCGGGTAGAGTATCCAGAAAAGGAATAGAATAGTATTGTCTAGTTTCAATTGTGAACTGAATGTCAGAATCGAAACTATTCAAAATCTCTAATAACTTCTCGGTGTTTGTACCTTTCTTCACTAGCACAAAGCAATCGTCCACGAACCATCTCCAGAATAGCACACCATTTATCTGTGATCTCCGTTTCAGCTTTTCTTCTAAGTAACTGACATAGATATTTGCGAATAGGGAACCCAAAGGGCTTCCCATCGCTACACCTTCCACTTGACAATAGATTTTATTGTTAAATATGAAGTGTGATCCTTTTGTGGCAATTTCAAGTAAGGATTTCATTTCTTTTCTGTTTTTACAATTGTCACATAATTTAACGTCCTTTTCTTGACTGAATCGCTAATACATACAATTATTTTCACAACAACTTTTTCTCCTTTTTTATAGAATCTCGTTCGTAGGAAATTATTGTTTTATACATTACTGCAATTAATTTGACGAACTACTTCCGCAAAGGACCATATTTTATTAGCTATATTTGCTATATGTTTGATCATTGCCTATTGTGCACTCTCCTCTCCCTCTTTGTCTCATCATTATGATCGAAGAAAATCGAATGCTGTATTTTATGAAAATATTAGACTAATTTCTTAATCAAAACATGCTTCAAATTCTAAGCATAGAGTTTTACGGCGATCTTTTAATGTAAAAAATTTTAAATTGCAATAGGCTTTGCTAAAATAACCATTTTATGCTACGCTACTACTTTTCTTTCATATTGATACACACACGGTCATTCATCCTTTTCGACTTTTGGCAATATGTACCTTTTCAACAAAAACAAATCACAAATTCAGAATTAATTCATGGCACTGTATAGCATAATCATGTATAAAACATTAATTTTGTAGGGGAAAATTTGAGTAAAAACGTGAACGCCTTAATCGATTTCGATCGAAAAACGTTTTTAATTAAATAGGATTTAGAAAGTCTAATTACGCGTTTAATTCGTTTTAAACATTTTTCGTTTTATTTAGATATGTATTTTAAAGCGTAGTCAGTGAAACTAAACTAAAAGTAATAGTGCTTAACAAGAAAATATCAAATGGGCGCATGACAAGTCAAAATTGCGCCCTGTTGCACAGAGTATTTTTGTGAATAATTTAGAAGCAAACTGTTACTTATTTGCTAGAGGGATCAGCAAGAGAGATCTAAAAGTATTCATTTTTATCGTAGAAACTATATCGATATCAAAGTTGATGAGATTGTATTGGATAGACATTGCTTTTGCGACATGCTAACTGATCATAGTCAACGTAAAAATTACAGGGGATTTGAATTTTGAATAGAAAAATTACATGTAGATAGCCAAAGTTTTCTATTTATTATAGTATAATATTTTTCGTCATTTTGTTTTCGTATATCAGTTATATATATTTAAACAGCAATTTGCTCGATTAAAAATGTAAGACTAGTCATGATGAAATTCAGATTATACGCTAGTTGAAGGCTGAAATATTCATAACTATACCACAAACCATGGAAATAAGTCATCTTTTTTACAGTTAGAATTAGCGTGACGAGTAATATCTTGATAGTTTTACGTTGAATCTGCTAACCTTGTGTAGCCGTGTGAGAACACTGATGGACTTAGCTTCAATCATCAAAGTCGATTGAAGCAATAAAACTTTGAA